TGCTTTGTGATTCTTTTGTCACAAGTCATTGAAGTGAATCACTCAACAAGAAGTTAAGTGATTAAGGATCGTATTCTCCCTCTCCTAATCACTTTTAGGACCCTCTTTAGAGTCAAGAGATAAAATTTTAAGGTCACAATGATACACAAGTACCTTAAAAAATAAGAAAATTTTAATTCTCGAAGATTTCAACCAAACAATAAGAAGATTGTTCAACATATATAACTCGTTAAAAACTTTTAAGATTATATTAAAAATCTTAGCATAAATAAAGGTCAATATTCAATTGGATTGAGTAATTTTTTTTTGAGTTAATTGAATTGAATAATCTTATTTTATGGTTCAAACTATATTTGAAATTTTTTCAAGTCAAATCGAGTTTATAAAATTCAAGTTGAGTCAAATCAAGTCAAGTTTTGAGTTTCTCTTTAAATTTGATTGTAACTTTTTATAATATTATATTGCATATTGGTTTCAATTTAAATTACTTTCTCTAATCATATAAGATATACATATATGTTTTATCATATTTTTCTTTACATATGCTAGTAAGATTTGTAATATTATTTCATAAATCAATTAACATCTAAAATTATAAAATATATTTAGAATATTATTCTTAAATAAGGTGTTTTTGATAATAAAAAAAGTTATTAGAATATAAATGAGTCAAATAAATTGATGGAAAGAAAAATTTATAAAAGGTCAATCAAATTACCATATTAAATAAAATAAAACTAAATTATAAAAAGAATAAAGTTTTTAGCTTGTCGTTGATAATAGGAATTAAAGTAATATATGTATTTTATAGTGTTAATGGAGCTTGTGATTTAAATGGACTTAAAATAAATGAATAGCTGAAGAGATAAGGAAATTGTATAAAATTAAACTAAAAATAAAAATAAAAAATTTATTTTCAATAAGGGGAGTTTAAGATACATAGCTATTGAATAATAATGCAGAAATATATTGCTTAAATTTGGTCAATATAGACTTTAAATTAATGAGGAATCGAAGAAATCAATGATTAAACTGTAAAATAGAAAAATTTAATTTTTCGATTTAGTAATTTTGAACTTGAATTTAACTCAAAGACCAAAACTAAAATTCAAATTAATTTGAACGGCTAAATTAAAAAATAAATTTTTTTCGAATAATAAATTTTATTTATTCCTATATATGAATATATAACTTTTATAGAATAATAAATATAAATAATTAAACTTTATTAGGTGCGATTGCATTATTAAATTTCAGATATACATTTATAAACGTATCAGATATAAAGACAAAAATAAACAAAAACGTTACATGTGAATTTTTTATTTGAAAAATCATGTGGACCCAAAGTTAAATTCAATTAATTTTTATTTAAATCAATTAAATAGTAATAATAATTAAAATGAGTGTTATTATCTCTAAAAGTTTTAAATTCGAATAACTACAATCATAAAATTTATGCATTATCAATATTGAAATCTTTTTAAATAATAACCTACTATTTTGTAATCACTTAAATTATTAAATTTTTTTATTTAAGCATGAACTAAGCTACCTCGAATCCTCGATAGTAAATGTATTGTTGTTATTTCTTAAGGTCTCATGAGTTAAGTTATCTTTAAATAGATATTGTTTTGTATTTACTGAAGATTAATAAAAAATTATTTAAAATTTTTTTAAATAAAAATTAATTTGAGATAATTACAAGACATTATCTATTAAACAATAAATTGTAACCTTTTGATATTAAACACTCACACTCCTTCGAATCTAAATTCTCAAAAAATAATAATAATTCATTTATCACGGAATCCAATTTATGCATAGTTAAATATGTGAGAAAAGAGGGAGTAGTGAAACTGAAAAAAAAAAGTGCAAGACATATCAAAGTGGACCGGGAAAATGCCAAACGGAAAAAGGTCAGTAACGGTTATAATTGCAGAAACAAACAGAAAAACGGCAAATTCCCATCAGCACCACTTTATTTCTCCACCGTCACACTTTCAATTCAGTGGATTTCAGTAATTAATGGTTTTTATAGTCCCTGGTTCTATTCATACAGAAAGTTGATATTCATCTAGTCCTTTTCATTTTTACGAAAAGAGTAACGGTTATTAAGGGCCAACTCCAAAACCACTGCAATATAACTTAGGGTAAATTATATGATTAGTATCTAAACTATTAGTTTTATTCCATTTTGATACCTAAATTGTATTATTTTTAAAATTATATTTAACGTTTAATTTAGGTTTCATCTTGATACACGTCGTTAAAAATTTAACGGTGATATTGATATGTTACCACTAGACAATGTCATATCATCGTTAAAAAATAAAAAAAATGTCATGTCAGCGATTCTATTAATATTTTAGCTATGTGTATCAAATTGAAACTTAAACTAAACATTATATATGATTTTGAAAAAAGTAAAATTTAAATACCAAAATAGAATAAAAATAATAGTTTCGTCACTAAATGTGCAGATTATCTTATATTTTTCAATTTTATAATTTATATTTTTTTTAAATTAAATTTATGTGATTATATAATTATAATTTATACTATCAAACATGATAAAATTATAATATAATTATTTTCTGTCAGTTAAACATTTACATACATAATCACTATAATATAATTATATAATTATACCTTTTATGTAATTATATTATAATTTTAAGTTTATTTATTTTATTTTTTTTCTAAAAGAATAGATTTAAGAATTGAGCACAAACCAACTTACTTAAGTGGTTAAATGAATCATTGTCGTTCTTAGAGATCATAGGTTCAAGCACCAACAACTACAACAGGGAGATTGAGTTTCATTGTCAAATAACTTAGAGTATTCAGAACAAATACGACTTTATAATCACATTAGCTTAATAAAAAATTGAATTACCAATAAAGTTTGAGCCTTTCAGTCATACGAAAAAAAATCATTTAATTATAAAATATATAGTATTTTTAATATTTTATCTATTTATACTATCGTTCAAATTTTCTATTAAGTTTGTATAACTGGTTAATCAATTCCGAGTTTAATTAATAAGGATGTTTTATCTTTTTCTGCACTCTTATATATATATATATATTCTTTCTCACTCTATCAATAATAATTTGTTTATATTATTTACTATATTAATTGATTGATTTAAAAAATAATTTCTTAGCATTTTACTAATTATTATTATGTGATAATATTGAATATTCAAAGTACTATTAATTAACATGATAATATATTAATGTTAAACCAATTAATTTGAACATCATATCTTTTAAAAGTTTTATAAGAAATAAATTAGAAAATCACGTTGATATTTTTCATAAGAACTGGTAAAATTATGATAAATGTCTATTGTAAATTTAAAAATTGTAAAAATAAAAAGAATTATCTATTTATCACTATTTTTATATTATTATGAGAAAAATATAGTGCTAATATATCCGCTATTAATTCTATAATCTTAATCAATTATATCTAAAAGTATCTTTTTATAATTAATGTAAACATCACAGATTAAAATTATTTAGATCGAACCTATTGAGCGGTTTCATTTTAAAAGAGTGTTGTTTTTGTTAAGATATTAAACGAACTATCTGTAAACCTATGATAAAGAGAGAAAGCAAGGAAGAAAATGAAAATAACGGTTGAAGAAATATCAAGATTTTATTAAAAACACAAAGAATTTAGAGCAGTAATCTAGCTATTTATACACAAACTCCCAGGTCAATTAGAAACCTGGGGTAACCAACAACCTTAACTGCCTCGTAACAAACTCATGCAGATATGATGAAACCATAGCTGAACCATACTCTAACATTCTTCGTACACTTCAAACTTCTAACATCCCACAAGCTTCTCAAGCTTTCACTTCAAACTTCTCACCTAGCCTCTCAACATCGTTTTCTTTGAGTTGGGTGATCAACAAACGCTGTCTGTGTTTAAAAAATAAAGGAGCAGACAAAGGTTTTGTCAAAACCTTAGCCACTTGTTCAACTGTAGGGACCTCCTGAACCTGTAACTGACTAGCGGCAATCATCTCCAGAACAAAAAATAAATCAAGCTCCACACATTTGAACTTGGAATGAAGCAAGGAATTAGTGCACACGGCCACCGCGCTCGAATTATCACACCATAATGTAGGTGTACCATGAGGAACAACACGTAACTCCTGAAGAAGAGATGTCAACCAAACTATCTCTGCAGCCACACAAACCACGCTGCGATATTCAGCTTCGACGGTAGATCGCGCAACAACCTATTGCTTGTGAAAGCTCCACGAAACAAGATTTCCGCCAAAATAAACATAAAACCCCGAAGTAGAACGCCAATTATACAAGCCAGACCCCCAATTTGCATAAGCAAAACCAATTAAAGAGAGTCTAGACGAAGGCATGAACCGTAAACCAAAATCAATTATGCCCTGTAAATAGCGCAAAATCCGTTTCATGGCCTGGAAGTGAACATCAAGTGGAGCTTGCATGAACTGACATACTCGGTTGACAGCAAAGGCAATCTACGGCCGAGTAATCACAATATACTGTAATGCACTTACGATACTCCTATAAAGCACAACATCTTCAACAGGAGATCCTTCTGTGGTAGACAACTTACAGCTTGTAATCATGGGTGTAGGCAAGCTCTTAACACCTTCAAAACCACTTCTTTGCAACAGATCGCGAATGTACTTCTGTTGACTTAAAACAACTCCACCTGATTCGTTACATACTTCAATACCAAGGAAAAAAATTAGGAACGCCAAGATCTCTTAATGAAAATTGAACATTCAATTTGTCAATGACTAACTAAACCTCATCAGACCTATCTCCAGTAATTATTATATCATCCACATACAGTAACATATACACAACACTCTCAACAGACTTCCTAACAAAGAGAGATCATGTGGCTCAATTCGCTTCCACCTGGTGATATAACATCATGGAATGAACTTGCCCAAAAGTTCTGATTGCGATTTAATCCTCCCAACATGAATGCTAGATTGAGAAACAACATCACATCTTTCAAGCAATTGGAGGATGAGAACTTTTATGAAGCATAGGAGCAATTTAAGGATTTGTTGCGAAAAATGTCTGATGCATGGTTTTCAACATTAAACGCAAATGGAGATATTCTACAATGGACTTAACATGCAAACAAGAATGGTTGTAGATGCTTCTTCCAATGGAGCATTGTTGGACAAGTCCTACAATGAAGCTTATGATATCTTGGAGAGGATTTCCAACAATGACTATCAATAACCTAACACAAGGACTATGTCAGGTAGATATGTTGTTGTAGTAGTGGATAACGGTTCTCTGAACAAATTGGCCACACAGGTGACAACATTGACTAAAATGATGAAGAGCATGCAAAAAATAAGAGGTGTGCATGAGGTAAAAACATCTTTTGTTAATTGTGTTTACTGTGGTGATAACCATAATTTTGAAAAAAGTCTACAAAACCCCGAGTCTGTGTAATTTGTGAGAAATTATAACAAGAATAACAATGTCAACACATATGAGAACACCTACAACCTAAATTTCCAGCATCATCTTAACCCAAATTAGCATTGCAATCCCATTTTGGGAATACACAATACTATCAACAACAATAATATACACACCAACAGTCGGTGTTGTAACATAATCAGACACATCATTAGGCAATATCGCAGCATCAACACAACAAACAGTAAGGTTATCAAGGACATTCTCATAACCATGCTTCATTATCAACATCGCTTGAGTATCTTCTGAAGAAGTACATCTCAATAAATGAAGTTGTGATCCAAAGCCAAGTAGTATCGCTGAAAGCATTGGAGAATCAAGTTTGACAGCTACTCAATGAACTCAACAACAGAACACAAGAAACATTTTTGAGTGATACTGAAGTTCCAAAACTCATGGGAAAACTCCTTAGAATATGCATTGCAAATCCATCACAACACGTAGTGGACTCCACCTTGGAAAATCAAATGTTGAAAACAAGAAAAAGGCGAAAAGCCTAGACAACAATCAAAAAACAAGGAGTTGAAAGTAGAGATTAAGGTATTTGGTGTGGATGCTACAACAAAGGTTACATGACATAGAAGTAATTTTGGACATTGCCACCAACAATGCCGACAAAACTAATGCCACTGTGTTGAGTTAATCGATTGATGGAATCGACCAAGAGGAGGTGAATTGGCAATTAAAAATTTGGTGGAAGCTTTTGCAGAAAATTGAAAGTAATTGCACAACGATTTAGAGTGGTTCGACTTTCTCAACCAAAGTCTACGTCCACTACCTTAGCTATCCACACTAAGGATTTTCCAACAAATTCTCTAATTTGTTCTTTCTTTTGAGGACAAAGAGTAAGCTTACAAATCCCTCAAGAATTATACCCCAATTCTTGAGCACACTCTTTTTCAAAGAGAAATACACAAATTTGCAAACTTACAAGGAAAAACCTCACAAGGCAATATGTTTGCACAATTTTAGAACAAGATAAGAACACTTAAACATGATTACAAATGAGCACATATAGTGTTCTTGAAAGCAAAATGAATATTGAAAGGAAATTTGGCTTGAATTGCACAAACTTGGTGTTTGATGCTTTCTCTCTTGTTTCTCTATAATTTCTTCTTGATTGTTGTTGATCAAAGGCTTCTAAACTTGTTTAAATACTCCTTAAAATGATTCTGAACGTTGGGGATGATTAGTGGAGTCAATAGAGTCGTTTAAGTGTGAAAACAATTAATAAATTCAGTTGGGAGCATCAGTGCATCGATGCATACCCATGGTGCATCGGTGCATCAAGTTTAAAATTCAAATTTTTTACCGTTGGACCCTTAGTGCATCGGTGCACTAAGAGTGCATCGATGCATAAAATGCATTCGATGTTTCAAAAAAGCCAGAGTGCATCGATGCATGGTTTGTGCATTGATGCATCAAATGCACTGAGTGCATCGATGCATGGTATGTGCATCGAAGCATGGTATGTGCATCGATGCATAAAATGCATTCGATGTTCAATTTAATCCATGGTGCATCGATGCATGGATAGGTGCATCACTTTGAAAAATTGATTTTATGCTTGATTTTGGTTCAAAATACTTTGTGAAAATTGTTCTAAAAATAGTTTAAGTATAAAACGCAATTTTACACATTTAGTAAGGTTTTAAAATTGATCTTGAAAGACTTGGAGTAATAATTTGATATTCGATTAATTAAATCGAATATACTTAGAAAATCATTTGTAAAATCTTAAAATTCATTTAAACTTAATTTGTTATATCGAAACATTAAAATGTTTTCAACAATCTCCCCCTTTTTGATATAACAAAACATTTGTGTTATTTTAAGATTTTCTAAAATTTGAAATCAATTTTGAAAAATTACTCCCCCTTACTATAACACTTCTCCCCTTTAACAATTCTCCCCCTTTTTGTTAAATCAAAAAGACTTTAAAATATTTTAAATAAGGTTTTGAAAAGCATAGCCAATTGATATATATATATATATATATATATATATCTTAAGATACTAAGATCACAATCAAAAGAGAGATTAGCCATTAGTTCCATAATCAATATTCATAAACAAATGTGAAATGGCATTATTGGTCATATATGTCTAATGATGCAAAAATAAGAAAATTCAACCAAACCAAATATATATATTAAGTTTAAAATCCAGAAGTTTAAACATCCAACAACCATCAAGTTTAAACATCCAAAATAAACAATCCAGAAACATCAAAATCAATCTAAGTTTTAAATCCAAGAAAACATAACAAGGAAACAAATTCACTCCATCGGAGGATCGGGAGGAGGAGAATAATGAGCTCGAACTTCAAGAGTAAGAGCGTCCATGCGTTCACGCATCTCCCGCTGAAACTCAGTAATCTGAGACTTCATGGAGGCAAACCTCAGATCAAACGACTATAAGAAAGATCGAAAATATGGTGGCATTTGATCTTCTTGCCGTGCTGGTTCCGATGTAGGCTCATCGTCTGGTACGTGATCGTCGATATCTTGCATAAGTTGTTGAAACGCAGGATCATCATCAGCAGCTGGTGCCGGAGGAGGAGGTACACGAGAAGAGCTAGGAGCAGCTCGTGAAGAACTCGCTCCCGGAGTTTGCTTACCCAAAGATCGGTTTCCTCGTCTTGTTTCCAATCCGCTTTTTTCAAGGAAGTGAGATTGATTTGATTTTGGAGAGGGATAGGATTGTCGAGAGAGATGTTTAGACTGAGTTTGATAAAAATGTTACTAAGAATATATCCATAAATCAATGTTTTGACATGTTTTGAAGGAACAATGTTTATGATATCCACTAGTTGACTAAAAATAATGTGGGGCAGATTTATTTTGATCTTATTCTTAATACAGTGCATCCACCATAAATCCTTAGTACGAAGAGTGGAGTACCTACCTCCGGATGATCTAAACCACCAAGAGATCATCAAATAAAGAAAACGATCGTGATGAGATCGTAGAGTACTAACACTAGAGTTTGGAACATATAGATATTCCACATTTTCATTCTCATTGTATAACCCATCATCATCTAACCCAAAATGGAAAGCTATACTCTCGGGGTCAATATTAATATATTGGCCTAAAAGATAGGATCTAATGGCTATAGTCCTTGAGTTTCGTTTTGAATGCATACCACATTGGAGTAGAAAATGCAGACTAATTGTTTATAGACGTTAGGTTTGAGCTGAAACAGTTTATCAAACTTCCAAGCTTTAAGAATCGGAAGGTATTCAAATTCAATATCTATCATAGCTTGAAGAGAAGGAATACGCTCTTCCCGGATTCTATAGGATTGGAAAGAATTTATGTACCTAGAGTACAATTCGTCTCTACGACGTTCAGGCATATTAAAACATAATCCTATAAGACTATTAGGTGGTGGAGGAACGGGATTTGGAGGTCGGGTAGAACGACTAAAAGAAGTCCTAGGGCGTTTGGGATTAAACATGGTTTAAGAATCGGAATAAGGAAAATAACCTGCAAGTTGAAACACATGTATGCAACTTAATCAATCCCAAAACTCAATTGAGTCCGCAATAATTCAAGGTTCTCTAAGCCGAATCCTAATGGGCAAGGTTTTGAAAACTATTTGAAAATAATTTTTGAAAAATCATAATATGTATAGTTTTCATGAAAACAACATAATTAAATCAAAAACATCAAATTTAAAAATTAAATTCAGATTTCCGATTTTTTTATATTTCAAAAATTCAAAAAATTCTTTAAAATTTGTGAGTTTTTGATGAAATTAGTTGTAAAATCTAGTTTCTAATCATCAAACAATCAATGCCCGATATAATTTTCATCCTAGAACTAATTAAAACTAGTCCTAAGAAAAAAGTAAGATAAACTAGAAGTTTTTAGAAAAATACCTTGAAAATTTCGGATTGATGAGAATGAGATGTTGTGTTACATGATTTAATGATAGTAGCAGGATATAGAGATGAAAAGCTTGAAGATTCTGACAAAAATTCGTTGATTTTGAGCAAAAGGAGGGTTAGAGAGAAAAAGGTGGCAAGAGAATGTTTTTGAGGGTTTTGAAACAAAGAAGAGAATCAGGGTTTTTAACCAAAACCCGATGGATGCATCGATGCACATTCAAGGCGTGCATCGGTGCACCTTCATGGTGTATCGCTGCACATTCATGGATGCATCGATGCACTGTTAGGTGTATCGATGCATTAAGCACAAAAATGTCAAAATTCGTTTTAAACACTCAAAATGTTAAATTAATTGGCTCTAGTGGTATTGGAAACTCATATATTGAAAATTAATCATGTTCAATCAATCAAATTAATCCTTAAACTATATTTGAACATAAAATTAATTTTCACCAAAGAACATAAACTCCCCCTAACTAATAGCAAAGAATGCAATCAAAAAATATTATTATAAGCATTTTTCATTTATTCTTAAAAAGTGCTAAAATCATTTTAAACATTAAGTGAAGATAGGTTAGTTAAACCTAATTCTCTCTTAAGTGTCCAAAATCTTTCTTTGTCTAAAGGTTTTGTAAAGATATCCGCTAATTGATGCAAAGTATCAATAAATTCTAGAACTACATATTCCTTAGAGACATGGTC